GCGCGTTAAATATCGCATGCGATTAATCGTGCAGCCCTACTATCATTATAAACTCACATCCTGTGTGTCAGGTTCATGTATATGATGGTGGTGGATCTAAAGTTTTGAACATGGAATAGAATAATAGACATAATGGGAATTACTGTCCATTGACCTAAAGAGCTAAATTCCTGTGGCTTCGATACTGAGTGGCACATTGTATCATTTCATATTATTAAGATATTATTTGAGAAACATGCATGACTCTTTCTACTTTATAATACAACTGCAATATATAATATCCAATATAGTAAAAGTATCTTTGACAATACAATTCAATATGGATAAATTAAAAGGAATCAATTTAATTTAAGATTTATGGTGCTTGACCATCTTTATTTGTGTAGTTTTTTTTTTTTTTGGAATAATGCTGTTTACTATTGTCCTCCTGCACTATCGACACACTATTTTCCTGTTTATCACTGTAAAGCTGCTTTGACACAATCTGTATTGTATATAGCACTATATAAATAAAAGTAAAGGTAAAGGTAAAACAATCTCATCGAAGTTATATCAAAAAGTTTCAATGAAAGTTGTATCAATTGCTTATTGAGAGAAGCTAATAAAAACACCTAAATGTATTAATGAAATACATTCACTGGATTTATTTGTAAGCTATACCTTTATCCAAAGCAACTTACAAAAGAGGAACACTACAACAAAAGATATTCAAAGACATAAGTGCTCTATACAATATGCTAGAAAGTACAAGACGGAGTGAAAATAATGCAGGCCTAAGAGGATAAACCTACACCGGCTATACAGGTTTGAGTATCTGTTGTTACCACATAAAGAAAGACAAATCTATTTCCCTGTGTCCTTAACTGCACTCTGATCTGAGAAACTGCATGATACAGAAGGCGGAGCCAGTTTCCAACGGGAATATATCTCCAACTGGGTTGTACAGTATGTCCATACCTAACCCCACTTCTAAATTTACCCACTACCTTAAAGGTCTGCATCTACTTGCAGTGATTCCCCTCTCACTTAAAGGCAAGGTCCAGCCACTTCACTTCACTTACTTGGCTTCTGAGTATATATATATATATATATATATATATATATATGCACTGTGTGCTTCGAACTGACCTGAGAATCGTTTTCCC